AATATTGAAAAAAAAATTATCCATATTTTTAAATAAAGAATATTTGGTGAAAGCTTGATTGGTGTGCTTGGGGATTTTTAAGGCAAATAAATCTTATTTCGTACTGTGAAACGAAGCAAAAACTTCAAGATTTTTCTTCATTTTGCGAAGAATATATATAATCTTAAAACAGCTATGGCAGCAGATTGAAGCTGGTTTATTTTAATAAGTGAGAAAAGACCACTAACCGCTCTTGTGGAAACCGCAAGCCGCACCCTACTCTACACAGTTATAAAGTACAACTATTAGTTTTAATTTGTTAAACGATTCGCTCTTTTTATTTCAATATTGCTTGATAAGATGTAGTGAAGTAAAATGTAAGTTATTAAGCAAAGTTTCCAAAAACTAGGTATAACTTGTATTTGTGACTACATTATTTACTACTTTCCTTTATCTAATTTGAAAATGGGTATGGAAATAATATCGAAGAGGTAATAGTGAATGGCAATTACTTTAAATTAAGAAAAAGTAATTGGAATTTATTCAGGGCACATTTACAATCTGTCGACATTCACATAGGTACAAACCACATATATTCTTTCCCTTATTAAGCTTTTTCAACGTACCAACGTCCCTTAAGGATCGTTGCCGTGTGTTCGACATAACGACTTTTTGATTAAAGTTAGAAGTGCTGCTGCCTGACCTTATCATACTCTGAAGGAACCACGTTATCTTGATGATACAAAAGCGGAGAAAGCCGCGGACTTACAATGATTCTTTTCAAAAGATTCGTGAAACTCTACTAGCCTACAAGCCCGCGACTGAAATAATCTACTGACCCAATATCCTTTTCAACTTTACAGTTACGAAGAACTAAGTGACAGTTGTTTCTCTTCCATTTCCAATCCAATACGAAAACTACACAGACTCATGGTAAAAATAGCAGTCTAGACGGCTAATCCAAAAGCCGGTTCAATTCAAAAATAACTTTTGAACCGGCTAAATTCAACCGTAGCAGGAATCCGTTCATAGATCGAAATATGGGACAGAGTTGTCCCACAGAAACTTATATTCTGGATATTCCCGGAATGAGTTGAAATATATCGATCCGAACGCTTATATTGCAAGATAAGATACCGCAGCCGTACAATGATAGTTTGATTGTGTGTTTATTTAGGATACTACTATATGTGACAGCACTTTAAATAGCTGTTCGGCCCCCTGCCAAGTTCCGCATAACTAAAAGGTATTGGTTTTGCATTCTGTAACATGTGTAAATGTGTACTTAGGATTATTGTTACCTCGATGTCGCCATATTTTCATATAAACCAGCTTTTATCAAAATTGTAATTACGCGTATCATTTTACGACCCCCATGGGAAGCGAGGATGTATATTTAAACACGCCAATATTTTCTCTCGCAAAAAGACAAGTTATTAAACTTCGTAACTTGGACATAAAATTCCATAAATAGGCTACAAAATGTCACTTAGCTTAAATGCTTTCTAAATTGATCTAGATACACATGCTATGGTTATACTATTGACTTAAGTATGTCATTTAGGGCGTTGGTATATTGTTTTTATAAAAATACTAGTTGTGCCCACGACTTCGTCTGCGTGGAATAGTGATCAAAATCCTCCCTCGTAGATGATAGCGTGATAATATATAGCCTATATGTTGACCCGACCTTTTAGTAATATTCATGCAAAATTTGAAGCAAATCCATGTAGTAATTTTTGAGTTTAGCCCGGACACACATACAGAAAAACAGACAAAAATTCTAAAAAGCATATTTTTAGCTTCGCTTGGAGATTTAAGCGTTTTTTTTTTAAATATCCAATGTACATTTTTCACTTTCCTACGATTTTATTATACGTATAATATGTATATGTGTATAGAATAGATAGAATTTTGTTATAATTAACATTAACCTTCGATATTGTTCTATGTAAGGGTTGTTATTGTCCTTTTAATTTAATTTTATCGTGACCTATGATTTGCAATTAGATTTTGTTTCAAAAATATATTATGAATGGTAACTTGGCGAAGAATGTATGTATTTTAAATATCCATTTTCAAAGACAATACCTACCTACTTTGTGACTTTATTTTGTTACTTTATCTAATAAACGATGCGTTATAAAAATGAAATATTGATGTAAAGGTAATGATTTTTGAACAAATAATGTTTTTGGCGTTTATATTAAAAATTAATAACACTATCAATCAAGGTGAGAAGCAATCTTTCAAGATAACATTCTCAAAGAAAACAATCTGAAACGAAATTTAAAGGCAAATTACTTTTCATATCTTTTAATTTTTGTATGTCTTTCCCAAGTTGTACCCTTACAAACGACATTAATAAACAATTCTGTGCTATTCGGCCAAGCATTGTCAACAAAATGTTTCTCATTTTTGTTGGCCCATGGAAATTGTCCTTTTTCAAACAATGTGAAGGTTAGGAAAAGAAATGGGGCTCATTACTCGCTCGCTATCTGAGAGCGTCTAATTGGAACATTGTGTTTTTCTACAATTTTTAACTCGGTTCGTGTTAAAATAAACAAACCATTATATATTTTGAAAACACTCCTTAATAAAATTAATGATTAATTAGGCAATACTTTCTTACCTGTTTTCTTATCTGTTTCAGGAGGCTTTACGACTATTTTTAAGATGGCCGATTTCAAAACGATTACGATTGCCGCGGGGCATTGTCGATAATGTTGCATATTGCTCAATAAGAGTTCTATTGTGACTCGAAACTAGTCGAGATACTCCCTCAAACAATTTAAATGCACACAAAAAATAAGCTAATAAGTCATTTGTTTTATCAATGTAGTATGTCTCACCATAATTATGAAATTGATAATGTGGACCGGAATAATCAAGATTGAATATTAAGACATAGTGATAAACACGACAAATTATATTTGCATTTGTCAACCGTAAAAAGTACGTCTCACCATTTAACGATTCTCATTACTCGGTTCGGTGACATTTCAATTTCTCATTTAACATGTACAGATGGCTATGAAAATCGTAACGATTATTTTACACCCAAGAACCAAATACTATGTTAAATTAAATACACAGTTATTATTTATATATGCTTTTAATTTTAATTGTTAACTGTTCAGAAACTTAGATTGTTTCGTTCTTCTTTAACAATGCGTAAGTTGTAAGTAAGTGACTATAAAAGTTTTCTATAAACAGCTAATTACATTTTAATTTAAAATGTCATAGAACATTAAGTCTTCTTTAAATTAAATGCAAGATGAATAAAAGTTGATGAAATTTAAGTTTCTTCGATATTTTTGTTTTTCTTATTTCTATGTAAAATATTTAATAAGATTTTTTCTAAATACATACATGTAGAAGCACAATGACTTATGCCCGTAAGAGTGTGCATAGGATACGACGTAACTTTAAACGATTTTCTCTATTTTAATAGCAAAACTATTAATCCCCGGAAGAACTATTTCGACTTAGAAGTCGTAACACTATCATTGTAAGAAGTTGTAACATTCGCTCTCGTAACTATTCATAATCTGTTTTAATGACTTTACTGCAAACAAAACGAAAATGGCGTGCGAGTAAAATTTTCATTTCCCTATTTAATTACTTCTTGTAATGAATAAAGTTTAGAATATGAAAACGTGTTCATATTTACAGAGTAGTACTTTAGCTTAGGTAAATCACCTGAATAGGTTGTAGAGGTAAATATGAATGGAAATGGTCGTTTTTGGAGCAGTTTAGAACTCGTAATAACTATGTAAAGTTCATATCATAAGTAACAATAGAAAGATATTATCTAAAGGCATTTAAAGAATAACCAGTATTATGAGGTGCCTAGCTTTTCAGTATGAAACATAGGGATTATTTTAGACAACTATTTGATCAAAGAAGCTTGTTTCTTGTCTGTTATTTTGGTATTGCAACAACATTAGGTAGGTAATACTTTTTAACTGTCTCAAGAGTGAGTGATATATTATATTTATGTATATACATTATCTCGACGTAGGTACGTTAATTTGTATTCGAATCAATTTCGCAACAATTTAAACAGTCTATAAATGTCACGAAGGCCTAATAAACAGTTCAGGTAGGTAAGTTATGGTTTGCTAAAATAAAACTATTGTCTAGGCAACGCCATGCGACATTTAATTTGAATGCCCATAAAGTGTACGAACTAATGTACGTCGTAATCTAACTGACTTTTGTCTATTGTTGTCAGACCTGGCTTTGTCGTGGACTTATTTATAAAATGGCTGAATTCATTGGTTTCGCGAATTTCATACGTAGTATACAGCTTTTACTGCCGTTTGAAATAGCATTTGTAATCTTCTTAATGGATATGAAATGTATAACATAAAAAGATCTAAACCTCTATTCATGCATTTGAAACCGATTCAAATGCTTTCAATTCATTTCAAAGAATTTTAACACGTAGTTTGTAATAAATTTTCTTTATGCATGTGTGCAAAAAATAAATAATTCACGTAAATTAACACAGCGCTTAGTCTTTTAAAGCCACAGAAGGCGTTTGGCATTATAAAATAATTTTATAAATATCCCACGATGTCATTGGACTTGGCACAAGGCGACTAGATAGGTATTACGACGACTATATAAAACACCTACTTGCGTTATATACCACGCTTGGTTACAACACATAATAATTTGAACGTGTACTGAAAAATGTTGTGAAAACTACATTTCGAATAAATATATATGACCTGGTTTCTCTTCCAGTTTAAAGAGTTTGAATGTGTCCTCATTATTAAAAAAATAGCATTGAAGTACTGGCACTCGCCCGAAAACAACTTTATTTTAAGATACAATTGTGTTTTAACTTCCGAGATGTATGAGCTGTAAGACTATCGTTACGCTAATTTAAACGTGCACAATGCGCTGCAATTAAAAGTTTCGTTTGAAGGATGAAGTCAGATAACTATCTGACTTAACTTTCGCATGTACGTAGGTAGACTTAAATTATCATAGTATTACAAAGTACTTACCAATTTAATTATGAGTAACCGTAGGATACGATGAAATTACTTTTAATATTACACTAACACACCCACTATATAATCTTACAGTTATACTAATCTATTGATAACACACTGAATAGTTTAACTTTCAACACTTCTATTTAATGATTTAAAACACACACTAAACTTATGTTTATTTAATGTCTTTGGTCATAGTTGCTTATTGTTCTAGGGGTAGTTTTACGAAGGATAAAAGTAAAGTCCAAAACTATTTGTAAAACAGTGTAAATAGTTCATAAACCGTGTGTAAACTTTTCAAAGGTTGCAATCAGAAAATTTCAGTCGTTTCTTGTGTATAAATAGGTTCCGATATAATTTTACTCTGAGAAGCATTTTTGAATTAATAAAACAACTTTGAAGCGGGTTTTTCTAGCGGGCAATGACGATCACTAAGAGTTTTGGAAAGTCGACAAAAGTTCTCGTAAGTGACTTTTCATTGTCATTTTAAGCTCGTAGGATTCGTTCGATGATTGAAGTGAGGGTTTCGGAGGGTGCTAAGGAAGTGGTTATAAAATAAAGTGTGAGTTCGCTTGGTCGATCGTAGTCCATGGATGGGTAGCGCGCGAGCGAGCGCGTCGGGCGCGGCGGGCGACAGGCGCGCTGGTCGACGTCGGACTGGCGGGCTGTGCCGCGGACGGACGACACGCGCGAGTCCGTGCGGCGTGCTCCCGTGCGCCCTGGCCCGACAACCCTGGCTGACATGCACTCCGCTCAACCGACATGCAAACTCAGTGCAATTTCAAAAGGTCGCCATATTTTGTTATGTCGCCAATACAAGTACAGCTCATTAGCCTAGATCAATCAGATTATTCTTGTAAACTGTTTCAGAAACTGATGTTTTTTGTTAGTGAAATGTGCCATGATCTATTAAAATAATTATGTGCAGTGAATACCATGCAACTGCATGCAACACTTTTGAAATAACATAAAATTTAATTGTCCGTATGAAACGCTTCACTTTCGAAGCACAAATAGACTGCTCTACACAGAATAATTAATAAACAATGTTATAAAAATTCTTCAACTAGCTTTTAAGTCACTCTTTTTTAAACTTGACTTTCATGTTTGACGATCACCATTCACCGTAAATCATAAGGCTAATCAACAATTTTCAGAGTATTACACAAGTTATACTTTATTAAGTACGTACAATGTTCCAAGATTGAAGAGAACGGATGATAAATGAAGAACATTAGGTCCAAGTATCTTCCTGTCCAATCCCTGACACTGCACGCTCCTCAGCTTTGTCGACCCATGATATTCATCGTTGTTTCTACCCCTTTAGTGCGTAACGTTCTACTTATAACTAAAAACATGTACTTTCCTAGTACCCAGTCTAGTAATCTATTTATGAACAAACTTTTAAGTAAAACTTAACACTTCAATTTATGACACCGATTGTAACTTTCGCACATTACCCTTTAATGTGTGAGAGAGTCATGCTTCGGTACGAATGTGCCGGCTCGAGCGAAGTGGTACTGCGGCCTCCCAGAAAACCGACGTGAAACAACGCTTGCGTTGCGTTGTGTTTCTTCGTGTGAGTGAGGTAACCGTAGGCTAAATTTTCAAATCTCCCCAATCCCGAATCCCTAAACATCCCCAAATTCCTAATCCGGTAAAGCACTTATGACGCCTCTGGTGTTCTGTGTATCCATCGGCGACGCCTATTGTTTACCATCTGGTGATTTGTGTGCTCATTTACCGGCTTACCCCAAAAGAACACCTCAAAAATTCATAATTTTCAGACGCGGGAAAATCTTTTACATTTAACAATAATTGACAGCGTCAAAATGCCTGCTAGTGTTGCCAATTTACGATATTTCAATTAGATATTAGTAGTACGCTTCAATTGATTTTCAATTTAAGTTTTTTTTTCAAAAATAAGGAGATATATATATATATATATATATATATATATTTATATAGACTGTATATCCGGATATATCCGAACATTTCAAAATAAAATCAGATAAATATTAAAGAGAAATTCACTCCTCGTTCTTCTTTCGGAATTGCGTATCTAGGTGAATAATTGAATGATAACTATCGATTTTATTGCTGTTTAAATGGTACTTAAATTGTGGTTTGATTTAAAATGATCATTAAAACATGTACTTCAACAAAAAAAATGAACTAAAAGTAATAAAATAATACTTCAGCTATGATACTTCTCATAAAACTAATTTAGTTCATGATCGCCTACAAATGGTCGAGTTAATGCGGCACAAATCGCAATAGAGTGATGTGCTATTCTGAAATAATTTTCGGAAGGAAGACGTTGGAAAAATTGAGTATGCGCAAGAGTTGACGTGGCGTGTGGTGACGTCACAGATGTCGACGTGCCGTCTATTCTCGTCCGCGACATTTCCGCGGCCGCGTCGCACACGCAGACGCGACAAAAGCCAGAAATATTTGACGACATTCAAAGGTCAATTTCACAAACAACTTTGTATTAGGCTGTGATATAATATGTAGTTGTCCTATACAGTCAGTACAAATTTTGCTTTTATAAAAAATGTGTCTAGGTTTTATTATTTAGAACTTTCTCACTTTATTTATTTTCAATTCATTAACGACTGATTAGTATCTATTTAATGAATTCTCTCAACCAAACTATTCTAATGTCGCGGAGAACCTAACGGGTAACCGGGGCTCCGGCTCGACGTGCAGGAGAAGGAACGGGGTGGTTTTTAGTCAGTAAGAGTCTGACACTCCCTCCCGCCTCACCCAGGCGGGAGCAGTCATTCGATGATTTTCCCCCATTAAAAAAAAAAACTATTCTAATCTCATATTCATGTGGATGCATGCATTTGAAAATAAAAACAAAAGTTATTTTCTAACGAATTAGACTTTTCCGTAAAAAATAAGAAGACCTACAAACTACTTCAAAACTATTAACAGCAGCCTCAATTTCTACGACTTTATGAATACCTACTTTCTAGGTCCTCAACAATAAAAACTGAATAGAATGCCACCGGACTTCAGTTTTGTTGTTGTTATTATATTGTTAGTTAGTATAATATTGTTTTTTTATGACATAAACCGAGAAACGAGCAGATGGATAACCTGCAGCTGTAGCCAAATGCCATTTAGCGCTTGTCTACTTGTAGAATAGAAAACTAAATTATATGGAATTGACGTAAATTTTGACACGTGTCAGTGTCATCCCCATACATTTAGTTTTCTACTCTCTCTGTAGACAAGCGCTAAAGTGGCGTTTGGCTAAAGGCACTGATGTTAAGCAATCGGCGCCCCCCATGGACACCTGAAACACCAAGCCGTTTCTTGCCGGCCATTTTGAAATTGGGAATTTTAGGATTGTGGAGGATTCGTGTATTGGAGAGATGAGGGTATTTGGGCCTCCGGTAACCTCACTCACACGACGAAACACAACGCAAGCGTTGTTTCACGTCGGTTTTCTGTGAGGCCGTGGTATCACTCCGGTCGAGCTAGCCCATTCATGCCAAAGCATGGCAGTCCCACATTTATTTTATTATACCAGGTAATTGAGGTGCGTTGTTGAGAATTTTACTGAAAATGCATAATTAATTTGTCAGACCTTAAAAATGAATTAAACCATAGCTAATTCGGTAGTTTTTGTTACAATAATTTGGTGATGGTCAAAATTTCACCAAAACTTTCACAATAATACACTCGCATACCATGAAACAGGTAGTTCAAGTTAATAACAACTTATTATGAAAATATACGTGATGAAATTGAATTAACTGCCATCTATGAATAGAATCTGAAACAACAGTGTCAACAACGTTTCGTAGTAAGCCGCTACGAGAATTTTCTACGCGGCTACGCATTTCGTAACCGGTCTCTGGTATTCTGGTAGGTTTTCATAGATGGCATAGTGTTCGTAAAAAATTATAACGATAATATGGCGAATACTTTGAGTGGTATAAAGTTATTATCCCGTAAAAGTCTATTTAAATTAATAGCCAATGAAATTCACACAAACACTGCTGTTACCTAGAATTTTCGCACATTTTTGATTAACATCGTAAAAGTTTATCGTATGTTGTAAATTTTGTTGTGGTTATTTTAAATGAACATTTCATTTTGATACTTGGTTTGGATTCAAATATATTTGTTCTGTTTACGGTAAAACTACAACACTACTGTTTAAAGTGAAATCTAAGATTTGCTGGCAAATGTTATTTAAGGGATGAAGGGTGAATAGATTTTGTTTTACTTTAGTTTTTCTTGCGGATATCTTAAGAGCCGACTATAAGACTAGACATTTGGTACAAACCAGGCCATAGCCCGGTCTGATAAACCTGAAATATTTAAACTGTAACCTCCGATCTGCCTTCCAAACGTGGAGATGGCAATCAATTCCATCAAGTGGCCACTTCTGACCAAAGGCCTCTTCTCACACGGAGGTTTGAGCATTAATCACAACGTTTGCTCAATTAGGGTTGGTGAATTCAAACTTATAATTAGAACGTATAAGCCAGATTTCCTCAAGATTGATTGATTGATTTCCTTTACCGTTTGTCAGCGGTGTCTAGATAATCTTAGAAAGTAAATAAACTTGGAAAATGTCATATTGGTACTAGCTATATTGGTACTTATTACTAACTACTACTAATAAATTGGTAGGTTTCATGCATGAGTCTTCAATTCTATTCATTTTATAGGAGATGGATATTCAGTACTGGACTGTAACGGCCTGCTGGTGTTGGTGACACTTGAACACGCTATTTACTAACTATTGAATTAATAGCACTATTGTTGTAAACTTGTATTGACACATACAATATTGTTAATTATCACATTTGTAAACTGATATTTTTTCATCTCGCTGGTGATAGCACGCCTAAGCAACCTATTCAGTCGGGACATAATGACACTCAAGTTGTATTTTTCAAAAAACACAGACTTCGGCAAGATATTACCTTGTTTTATATTAAACACTTTACCATCGTACTGACTTTTTATATTTGATGGGTCGACGTTTAACCACTATCTCGCCTGGTGGTAAGCGATGTGGTCTACGATGGAGCACGTCGTCCCAAAAGCAACCTATTCACTCGGGCCTTGAAAACACCCAGGTTAAAGTCATTTAATGGCTACTTAACCCAGCTTCCAGCAATAGGGTAGATGCTTAATTTTTATTTTAATATCCGTCTGGTAGATTATTTTAAGCATAGGCACGTATATTTTATTTTCTTACAGAAACGAATACGATATATTGATTTGAAATGTCGCGTGACGTCACTTATATCTACATTTTATACGTAGAAATGACGTTTTAGCCCCCACTCCTAAACTTTGATTTGTTTTATCTAAGTATTGATTTAATATACGACAAAATAAAAAATACGTGTCTTATATTTTTTATTACCTAACTTACAGACTAATTATATGTTAAATTTATATACCCTGTCATCATTTCAATTATTTTCGAAACAAAACCGTTACTAAAGAATAGTTTCAGTAGTGATTAAATGTCTCAAGTACAGCAGTTAATACAAAAGCACAAACACACATACATATCGCTTGCTATACAACGATAGTTATATTTGTACTATGATTTTTATAAACTGACGGTATCTGTTTTGTTGACTGTAATGTTTTTATGTTGAACTAACTTCTGCCAGCCGTTTTGTCTGCGTTCCCAGGGTTAAAAAATTTCATCCCGGTCCCTTCAGCCGTTTTGATGTGACTGAGTAAGAAACATACACACAAACTCACATATTTTCACATTTATAATATTGGTTCAAGCTATTTTCGACCATCGGGCTATTGTTACAGCATAAAGTCCACTGCGAGCTACCTACCATTCGACAAATGTATATTTGCGTTTAGTAAAGGAACTGTGTCTAGGGATTGCGCCGCACAATGAAGTTTGTTTTTAGTGTATATATTTTTTTGGGATAAAAAGTATCCAGTGTTATACCTAGGATATTAAAGTGTACTGATACGAAGTTTTGTCGTAATAGGACCGGTAGTTTTTGCGTGATGAGTGAACACATAGACAGAAAGACAGACAAACAGACAGATAGACAGACAAACAGACAAAAATTTTTTAACCACATAAGTATTTGGATTCGGTATATATCTAGTAACACCCCATACTATTTTTTTTTTTAATATACATACATAATTTACACTTCGTTATTATATGTAGGTATTCGGCTACATACTCTTTGCTCCATCTGCTCCAGAAATGCTGGCGTAGTTGCTCTATTCTTTGAAATCGAGACAGATGGTTTATAGAATGATCCCGGTAGTCAGGCTGCGGTAGATAAAGATGTTATAAAAAGTAGATTCCAATTATTTCAACCTCGCTTATGTCATTGCTGAACCAAAAATACATTTCTCTGAGTAGAAACATACAACAATCATGGACGAGATATCATCAAAAGCCTTTGAAGATAATTATTTCCTGCTAACGGGAAATCTTTCGTATCTTTAAAACACGTGAAGGTGTACTATTAGTACGAGATCCGGCTGCAGAATCAGTGTACCAATCGAGTGTTTGCTGAAAACCAATTTTTTACATATATTCATGATTAGGAGAATTTATATCCACCAGGTTGCCTATCAAAATGTGGCCGCTAGTATTTTTAATTAAATTATTAATAATTCATAATCCGTAAGAAATTTCATTGACTTTTTTTTTCAATGAAATGTCGTCTACTTTACGGCAACATCTATAAAGACTCTGAAAAATTATGGTTGCCGTTGCGCACCTGGCCGCACCTCTTCGCAGCCAGGTATACACAGGTATGAATTTGTTACATTTATACACCCACAACGTACATTTATAATTTATATATCAAATTAAAGCAAATTTTTTTCTGTATATTATTATATACGGTTGCTTAATTAAATCTGGCCGCCAATAAGGGTTGCTGGCTAATAAATATAGTAAATATTAAAAGTAGAGTGAAAGAGAGCTAGCGCGTAACACCACTAGTCACTAGGTACGACTCAAAATAATAAATACTCCAAAAGAAACGTCTTTCTTTTCTAAAATAAAAAATTAAAAAGTCAATGACAAATTTAAAAATTACAAAAAAAAAGCTTCTGACATGGCAATCTCATTTAAGTGAAATAAAATTTATAAGGATGAAGGCGTGTTTCCTGTGCGACAAAAAATGCAATGTACTAGACTTTGATAATGCTTCATTCAAAAAGTGTTCTCTAATGTTATTGTTTCGTCGCAAGAAAAAATATAAATATCATGACATTTTATTAAAAAAGAGTCATGGAAGTATAATACAAATATAATACATTTTAAAAATTTATAATTTGCTTAAACTGGTGATTGATGTATATGTAAAATAAATGTAATACTTGAAGCAAATTAAATCTTTTTTCATACAGTACTTGTACAACACAATTTTTTTACATAAGTAACCTTGATTTTATTTATCATCAATATTCATTTTTTTTTGTAATTTTTAAATTTGTCATTGACTTTTTAATTTTTTATTTTAGAAAAGAAAGACGTTTCTTTTGGAGTATTTATTATTTTGAGTCGTACCTAGTGACTAGTGGTGTTACGCGCTAGCTCTCTTTCACTCTACTTTTAATATTTACTATATTTATTAGCCAGCAACCCTTATTGGCGGCCAGATTTAATTAAGCAACCGTATATAATAATATACAGAAAAAAATTTGCTTTAATTTGATATATAAATTATAAATGTACGTTGTGGGTGTATAAATGTAACAAATTCATACCTGTGTATACCTGGCTGCGAAGAGGTGCGGCCAGGTGCGCAACGGCAACCATAATTTTTCAGAGTCTTTATAGATGTTGCCGTAAAGTAGACGACATTTCATTGAAAAAAAAAGTCAATGAAATTTCTTACGGATTATGAATTATTAATAATTTTATTAAAAATACTAGCGGCCACATTTTGATAGGCAACCTGGTGGATATAAATTCTCCTAATCATGAATATGTGTAAAAATTTGGTTTTCAGCAAACACTCGATGGGTACACTGATTCTGCAGCCGGATCTTAGACTATATGTATAGATATTTGTTTGTTACAGGTTCTTTATATTACGTACACAGTACGTATTAGTTTCAAATTAAGTTTTATTTTTTAAATTAGGACAAGCCCGCCGCAACCTCTCAAAACCGCTGCAACTACTGTAAGCCAGGATACACAGTAAATACAACCGTGACTTACATCGTACATCAACAGTCAAACAATTTATGTATAGTTTTGTTGGACACGGTTTTAAATTGTAAGACATACATTGTACCTTTTATTATTAAATAAATAATGAAAGCCTCGGGACACTGAAGTCCAGCAAGTCCCAGGGACATGAATAACTGTCTTGGTTCTCGTAACGAAATAAATCAGAAGATAATAGAGAAGAAAAAAATATTTGGTTAATATAAAAATTGAAATAGACTTATTACTATAGAAGAGGGCTAACACTTAATTTTTGCTTTAAAAAAACTAGATACTTGATACTAATCACCAACTAGCAATTAGAAAAAAAGTTACGTTATTCCATCTATTGTGATTTCAATACATCTAGCAAATACGATATGTATGACAAATTTGCTCGCATTTTATTAACATTTGTGAACATCTCATTTAATTTTCATACCATTCAAGGTAAGACACATATGATACATAATATCTATCATCAAATTATTTTTATATTTCTTTACAATAATGAAAAACTATACCCTAGTGCTCAGTAAATCCTAGCTGCGGAAGACTTAACGGGTTGCCGGGGCTCCGGCTCGAAGTGCAGAAGTAGGAACGGGGTGGTTTTTAGTCAGTAAGAGTCTGACACTCCGTCCCGCCTCACCCGGGCGGGAGAAGTCATTGGATGACTTGCCACCATCAAAAAAAAAATGCTCAGTAAATCCTCTTTAAAATTTTTGTTTATTTGAATGATTCATATATAAATAGGGAGGCCTATATTCAACAGTGAGCGTCTTGTGGCTGATTGAAGAAAAAAACTATTAACTATTTTAATCAATAACGTTCAGTAACAAGACAAGGTGTAGTGGATCGTTAGTTAAAAGAATGCTAGTTCATTTCCTCTGCTTGTGACACGCTAATGACGTCACGGAAGAGGGTTCCTGTTTTATCTTTGTCGATGCCTACTGGATACTTTGTATTTGAATTAGCTACTGAGAATTGATAGACAGGATAGGAAAAAAGGAATGTTTTCTAGGAATAGTAACGTATGGAGTAGTAATTTCTACCACTGCACTCAGAGTAATTTGTCTAGCATCACGCCTTTTATCCCTGAAAGGGTAACACCCACTTTTCACTATTTATGTTATGAGTCCCATGTAACAGGGAGTAAGCCTATTGCCATATGTATACCGGAGTAATTTAATGAGTACTTAACAATTTCTGGTCCTTAACAATTGTTTTCAATACTAAATCGTTACTAGTGGCAGTTAGTGACAAGTAACCACGAGAAGGAAAGTTTTATTTCCCGAATTAAGATTTTTTGGTGTTCTATTCGATTTTAAAGATAAGTTTATGTTAGGCTTTGTTGCGTTTGTTTAAAAATACCAGTATACCAAATATATTACTCGTACCCTATAAGAACTTCCAATATTACGAAAACATTTTTTGTAACCATCTAAAAAAAATTGTCTTTGTACATAAACACTAATGTGAAGTTTCATAACATTTGATAATGTTCATAAGTAGGAATCAAAAGAATAATGTTTTAAAACAAGCAGATGCCCAGAGAGTATGATCAATGTATGAGCTACGATGTAGGTAATTGGGTCAAATAGGGGTCAAGGCTCTACTAGCAGGGGTCGTTCGACAGATTATTCTCTCTCGCACCTTGCATATCATTGATTTATTACACAAACCTACCCTCACTTAAAGTATCAGTAAAACAACATTACGATAAAATGTTCAAAGAAAAATAAAATGTTTTCTCTTATAAGCTTGTACGAAATATGTAAATGTGGTTAAACAACATCCTTGTACCCGTCTCTTACACAAACTTATGAGAAAAGTGGAGATAAATCGAATAACTGTCACGGCTGGGAGGCTTGTGATCCGAAAATAGCTCGGGGAACATCGTGTGGACAGCTTTGTGCTTATGTAAAGTACCGACAACGTTTGTGCATGTATTTGTAACCGATACAAGAAACATTCTAGAGCGCTACCTCCTCCGCGCGCTTTGATTTATTCACAAGGAAAATCTCAACGTCTCCCAAATTCAATCAAACTTCAAAACAAGGGGGTGAAAAGTTTTTTATCTCATCAGGATAATCATAAACGCTTGGCATTATATAAGTACATTAAATTGTGATTCATATTTCAGATTGCTAGCAATAAAGACAGATTTGTTTGTGTGTAGAGTTTTGACAGGCTGCGCGGGCAGCGTGCGCGCGCACCTCTCCGCCATCTTGGCTTTCCATCCCATTCCCATTTCAATAGAGGAGGGAGCTCGTAACAGCTGTGAGCGTGAAACACAGCACTTCCCTAACAAGGGGTTACTTTTTTAAACAATTGAATTGTAAAAGGACTTCTAACGCACAGTTTATGAGACAGAAGGAGGAGTACACGTTCTGTTCACGATAGTGTCACCGATTAAAACAGTGAGTTACGAAATAACATTACCAAATTATCGATTTTGTATGTTTCGAATCGACAAACCTGGTGCCATCGTGCTTGAGGGTGTTTGTTCATATTGTTTTAGAAAGACAATCGAGTGTTGCATAGTCTGGAAAATAGGAAGGAAAAATCGATAGAAGTATAATTTGCCCCCGCTGTTGTGAATGTGAAGGGAGATAGTTGCAGCCGTGTCCCCCGTGAAGTAGCTTGGTGCCGCGCGACTGATAAAAATAATAGTGATAGGCGCCCCTGACGTCCCTTACTCGGGTTGATATACGAAGACTGATAAAAGGTGCGTATCGATATTTGTTATGCTTTTTACTGTTATCAGCCAGCAATCTTTACCATTGTCAATGGTTTCTATGTATTTTATTGATTACTGCTATTGCATATTAGAATTAGCGCAGACCGCCAAAGGACATTGGTTTCATAACCGCTTTACTGCAAAGATGTTTAATATAAATAAACATAATGTAAGCATTCATTTTAATAAGTATCGAATGTAAATAATACATGAACAAGGTAACCAACTACATGACAGAAGGTTGATGTTCAACGCAAAGAAATAATCCCTAGGGACCTCCCTCGGGCAAACAAACACGTAGGCGTTTACATCCATAAAACTACTCGCCCTTAATACTAAGTGAAGTCAATTATTTTTAATCTGTAGCACAATTTATGCTCTGTAATTCACATCACGCGAATGAATCGGGATTAGTTTTATTCGATTAGCTTTTATTCATTCATGATACCTATTCATATCATGAATGATATCGTCATGAATGACTATTATTTTGTCATTAACAAAAAAATTTTTTTCTACGAATCCATAGGCGATGCCATTTGAATTAAATATAAAAAATTTAGGGTTGCATGTAAGTAAAAAAGTAACTTAATTAATTTATTACTATTAATCTTAATTACTCTATTCCCTCGATAATCAATTTGAACTAGATTAATTAATATGTCATTGCTTTTAATGGCCAAACAGTCAGTCTACTAGATGTCTGGTGATGGTCGATAGGTCGCAAGAGCAACTGTCGATGATCGAGTCTCGGGTTCGATTTGAATTGGGCAAAGCACAGACAGAGTCTAGAATGGGGACGGGCATGGTGAAACGTTAAGCCAAAATGAAGTGTCTTATAACATAGCTAAAGAAAAGTAGGTAAGCCCTCTAAGTACACTGACATTGCACACTACACTTATTTTTCTTTTCAGTTTAGGTTCGTTATAACTGCTTTTTGATATTAAAAAATAATTAAATATCCATTTCATGATAAAAACAATTAAAACACGTTACAACCATAAAAGTATCAGAATATTATACAATGCGAGGTAAAATTAAGAGAGATAATAATATTAAATTGTAGGTACCTACTTTCCTGAGAATAAAAACATGATACCTCCCAGCTTCCCAACAGTACGTGGTTACTAAGAGAAATGGGTCATTAAGTTATTTATAGGCGTGGTTCTTTGAACAAAGTAATATTATAAGATAGGTAACTATGAGTAGGCGAACCTAGTTGAGGAAAATTTACATAAAGCTCCTGCTCGAGACAAGAATTTTATTGGAAGGTAAATTATTAATATTTGAACATTCCTCCCTTGTTATATATGGGACTTATGACATAACTGATGCGAAATACCTAATTATCTAGATTTTCAGGGAATAATAAGCGTGGTCTTATGAACGCCCAGAAACACCAAACAGAAGACTCAGATATTGAAGTCCTTAAAGTTGTTAAAACTAGGGCAGGTATATCTTTAATATTTTAAAGGGGACTAATGGATAGATTCCTGATTCCCGTTAATCCAATTTATTTTAATCAAGTATAGCCTTTCAAAGTCAAAGCCAAAATCATTTATTTCAATTAGGCACTTTTGAATGTCAACAAAAAATAAAAGTGAAGCTATTTTCTTATTCCAAGGTAGATTCCTATGGAGAAGGACGAACAAGAAACTCTATTATATTCCCCATACCTTTTTAATAGAGTCAAATTACAAACTGATCTTATACATCAAAGTTTAAACATATCAACAGTATAGGTACCCACAAGGCTAACCCTTGAACTCACGATCAATCAATAAATCGAATATTGGCACAAAACTTTACAAAAACTCTCAGACTGAAAATTGTGCTTTATTGAACAAAATAAAATATTTTATTACAAGAGAGAACTGCTAAAGTACCTAAAGTTTTGATATTATGTCGACCTTTCACATTAAAGATATTTTTTTTACCTCTATACTATTGTGTATAGGTACTCACTTATAGTGATTTATTCGAGTGTGATGAAATTAAAGGTGACTTGTATTTGTAATATGATTTAAGAGAACGATTGCCATAACATTTTCCCCTTAATATGTTTACTTAAATGAATAAATACATGACACTGAATGGGTAACATTGTAAACAATAGTTCACATTTTACTAAATATAGTAACTCAACTAAAAAAGTACTGGGGATAAAGATTAGTCAATAAAATCCATTCAGATGACGTCATAGGCGAAATCCCCTAATCGCTTTTACAATTCTCGCCCACTGGCAGGGCTGTGGGGCTTATCCTTGGCTAGGAGCAACTCGATAGCTGTTCGTACACACATGTCACTAAATGCCCAGTGCCGGCCGTATAAAATACATACGACACTTTACTACCATAAGTGGCTACAAACGGTATTAACACATCATGAATTTATGCTTTTCCACCACGAAGTAAAAGTTCTGAATAAAATATGGCTGCCTGTATACCTACCTTAGTACTGATACCTTCACTCAGTTGCTACAAACTTTCAGAGAATCTGATTTATCTCGTTGAAGTATGTACGTTCGAGGAAATTTGTTCTAGATTATTCGAGATATTTGTTATTGACTGCGTTTTATTCACGCTTCCCTTCGTTGAGAGTTCTTCGTATATCTGAGAAACTAGGTGACCTAGCTATGATAATATACTTTATGGGATTTTGCATATTGTTATTACATAACTTTCTCATAACTGTTATCTTTATTCTGGGTACGTATTAAACTTGAGTCTTTGTGTTTTATAGTCTTATAGCTTTGAACTACCAAATAGGCATAAATAAAATGTCTTAGTTTCACGTCGCGTCTAAACAAGTCACCACACAGTGGCTTTAATTGAAGGGCGTATAAAGGACCACCCACACGTTATCTTATTGATGTCATAACATCCACTTAATAGACGTAGATGAAATCATCTCAGTAGGGCAGTGACGCCAACTCAGTCTTGAATAAACGTATACTTATTTGAATATTACTGCTTCACACCACATTGAACGACGAAACCAAGGAGAAAATGCTTGAATTATAGATCTCTCTTTGTACGAGGAATGCTCTAAAAGATGTTATTCACAGCAGAGCTTCAGAATGAGCTTTATAGAATCAACTACTGTCTATTTTCTGTCGGATTTTTCAGTGCATTTTACTCGTAGTTTTTTGTTCGTGGCTCATTCCAGTTCGTCCTGGTTTCTTTCAGCACTAATTGGCCTAGTCAGCCAATTAGAGTGAGAATTTCAAATCATTGAGTCAAGTATTTAGAAAATTCAACTCCATGTTAGTAAATGAGTTAACTAGGCCAATTACGCCATACTTTTATGTCAATGATTGGCTGATAACTAACTCTAAATTGCGCTTATCTCTCGCACAACTTGACTCTGTCTAGGACACACTAAAATTGCCCTATCGGTAGGATGTGCCGATACGGTGGCATTATCTAAAAGTCATTTTTGTTTCCCGGCTTCGAATAATTTAATGACAGAGGCCAAACTAAAACAAACGGTATTGTAAACGAAATTAAGTTTGATTTCGCATTTCATGGAAATTACTGATAAGACTTTCCGATGACTCAATGATGTTAAGCTAATGTGGGCTTACTTGTATGTTGGTACCTATAGTAGCAAAGTCGAGTTTTGCTAATCAATACTACGTATGGGAAACGTATCGTGTTTTGCATTTGCGATATATTTGTTAGTGCATTAAAGCGATGTGGCTGTGTTAGTAGTGACGATAGACAATTTTAACATTTTTTATTTATAATGGAAACAATTCACGAGAATTCGAATAATAATGTAGAAGATGAGGATGATGTACTATCGACATTTACGTAAAATAGTAGATAGTTTGAAGTAAACATGTCACAGTAAAAATATAATAAATTGTTTTGTACGACAGATGACTGGAGATGCAAAATGGCAGAAGGACGCGGCGGATCAGAACTTCGACTACATGTTCAAGCTGCTCATCATAGGAAACAGTTCCGTAGGAAAAACGAGGTGAATATAATTTTGTTTTATTCTCTAGTCTAGTCACAGTATTACATGTAGATATGTTAATGTTAAATCTCATTATTTCATTCTTAAGCGCAATTTTGTAAACTAGTCATAAACAGTAAATAAACCAACAAATAAGCTTAGGTACGACTTTTATGAATATTAAGTTCTAAAAACTGATCCATTAGACTACAGGGGTTCTGTTTTTATAATAACTACCGTGAGACATACTGAATTAATCAGTAGAGTTTTTCTCAATGTATTGTATACGTGAGTAACTCGCAATTATTACTGTATTATCTAAACAATAATAATATGTTTTGTTACTGAACAATCAAAGTCTAGACAAAATAATATTAATGATTAAAACAGAAGAACTCATCAGGCCAATCATAAAGTCCAATACCGATTCAATGTCAAAAATTACATAGATAACGGCTATGGTATCTAATTCAACACTTATAAAATGACGTCATTGGTAACTCGGTTAGAACATTTAACAAACACTTCTGTATTTGGCTTCCAAAGTAAAGAAATGTCCGATTGGTTGGATAAAGTGCTGTTGGTTTCTCAATGTGCGAAACTCTTGGTTTGGGTGTCGACGTCTGGAATTATGCCCGGGATATATATGAAACTAGTGACCCGCCCCGGCTTCGCATGGGTGCAATATGCATATAGGTATTATACATATAAACCTCCCTAAGAATCACTCTATCTGTTAAATAAAGCCGCATCAAAATTCGTTGGGTATTTTTATAGATCTAAGTATACATAGGGATAGACAGACGGCGGATAGTATCTTTTGTTTTATACTATGATATTTTTTTCTAATAATTATATTCATTATGGTACACAATAGCACTCGTGTAGGTTAAGATTTTACAGTTACCTAGATGAGGACCTTATTTGTTATCTGACTGCGCTAAGAAGGTACACTGACACAGTCTCTTTAAAAGTCCTCTAGTAAACAGTACTACACCTCTTACTATATATAAATGGAACTTTCACTATTAACCATTTAAAAGTAAATGTTACATAAACATGAGCCTAATCCTTCAGACAATAAAAGTCACTTTAGCAAAATTTTAATGAAAAATTTACATAAGCTCAATTAGGTTTCTATTTTTTACGTTGTTGGTTTTGACGTTTTAATTTAAAACGGTCTCCTCTAAAAATACCCGTCGCCTAACAATGTAGCTGTTATATAAAAGAACATTGTATCATTTGAAGGGTCGTACGGATTCTTTTGATATCCCTCATCCTACGGCCATTGTTACAACGTTGCCTATAAGAGATACTTATATTTACCTATTAATTTATACGTTATAATGTGATACTGAATATGTTTTATTAGCTGAGAACGTTTTTTAAATGGTTAATTTGGAAAAGGTTATTTTAGGGATGATAGATGAAACAGGGATATGTTATACATTTTTTCATATCATTAGAGTATTTGTTAGCAGTTCAATGTGTATAATAATATAATATTAATACCCAATTATTAGCCTGTTTACTAGTATTTTATATTTTTAAAAATCATTGGACTATTTCCTGAAAATATAGGGCGAGCTTATCAGATGCGAAACTTTTAAAATTATGGCGGAACTGTAAAGACTTTAGGGTCACTTTTACGACTTCAGTTTGTAATTACTTTCGTGTTTTTTAAATAAAAATAAAACTAACATAAAGAGAAGGATGTCTTTCTACGCTGACCAAATACCTACTTAATTTGTAATTACGAATTGAGATAGAGAATCACTAAATTCAAATCGTCTAATCTCAACAGACTACTGTTTTTGTATCATTTAAGTTATCTTATTTCTTTGTACTTGTCACTAAAGTGTATAGTCTCTCTTAGAGAAAATTAACAAAAAATTCTTATGACAATAATTAAAGTTACTATTACATACTTTGAAAAAAAAATATGTGAATACCATATCTATAAAATATGCAGCAGTCGATCCTTTAAAATAATCCTCAAATGGACAACCTAAAACTATCTTTAATTCATTACCATAAAAACCATTTTCCAAATAACAATACTTATTTCAATAATTCCAGCTTCTTATTCCGTTACGCGGACGACTCGTTCACTTCAGCCTTCGTGTCCACCGTCGGCATAGACTTCAAGGTGAAGACAGTGTTCCGTCACGATAAGCGCGTAAAACTACAGATATGGGTGAGTAACTAACTACCAATTAATTATATTGCCGAGTGGGGACCCGCATACGACATCGATTTTTCTTGGAAAACTGCCAATATTGTCTTTATGAAGTCTTAAAGTGTCGTTTTATAACTTCCAAGTTTTTAACTGTGTCATTCTTTATGTTCGCTAAGGACATAGTAATTTTTTTTTGTCAAAGTGAAATTTGACGTGTAGCGTTCCGAGCGCTCCTCAAAGAGCCATCAGACCACCACAGTTGGGGCCCAATAGGGCTGATGCTGATACGGAGCCAGAGAGGACTTATTGGGTTGCCGGGGCTCCGGTTCGAAGTGCAGGAGTAGTAAAGGGATAGTTTTTAGTTAGTAAGAGTCTGACACTCCCTGTTGCCTCATCTGGGCGGGAGAAGTCATTGTATGACTTTCCCACCTCGAAAAAAATAAAACTTTGTATGTAACGTTTCTTGTTTATAACTGCAAGTGTGTTGAAGTTATATCTCCAGGTTACCTACCTCTTTGATTCATTGCAAAAAAAGTTGTGAGCAATCTTCCAATAAGTGTTCACACATTTAACACGAAACAAAGTTATTTAACACTGCTAATTTAGGTTGACCATCTAATGGCACCTAAATTGTGTCCATATTAAAATAACAATGTGGTCACAGGCTTTTAATATTTAGTTGGGGTTACGATATGGAAAATCGTAACGGTTTTAGATATACGTACATATATGAGGGCCCAATTTAAGGGACATTGTAAAAATAGAAGGGAGTTTTTTGAAGAGCACCCTTTTTAGCAAATATGGAAAAATATAGCAACATACAAAATATAATGGGTAAAGTAATCGGCCTATCGCCGTCAAACCACATTGAGTCGTTTTCCTCAATTGCCTCTTACCTCTTAAGGAGGATCGTATTTAATTAGTCTGTACTTTTCCTTTCGCTCGAGGTTACTAAGATACAAGATACAAGGTTGAAACGTGTCAGCAGCATACTTATTTATGACCTCGGAGAAATATCTAGTAGACGACGGATGTAATGAAAAAGGTGGCCTTTTCCTTCTTGATGCCTTAAGCTCTTTTACGGAATATCTAGTTAAGACGCTATTAAACCTTTCTTTAATAGCCTTTTTTTAATAGTTTCAACCTTTTGCTGTAACTGCATAGGTTGACTTACAATACATAAATAACATTGTTTACATCCATTATTTTGAAAAATACTTAGCGTTTTTCTAAAATAACAACGCTAAAATAATAAGTTGGACATTTTTGGAGATGTTAGAAAAAACAACAACTTTTTGTCTAAACGAGGAAGTTATTAAAGTATGATAAAGTTCAACCGCTCTCACACAAGGCTATAATGAAATTTCACGCGAGTACCAACATAATGAAATTTTATTGAAACGAAAGAGGTTCTAGCAACCGAATAAAAATATAACACGATTTGTTCGTTGAACTCTCTTCTCTCGCGAATGGCTTGTGACGTCACTCTACATTATGTACAAATTGAATTAATTGTATATCTACACCTACATACAAAGTTAGATTTGTATTTCTGTAGAAATCGAATCGTAAGAATTTATTATGTTTGCTTTAGAAATAGGGTAAATTAATCACTGTAGATGTAGGTTCTAAGGCGTTGAAGCGATTATATTAGAAAGCTATAGAATTTTCAATTGTCAAACTTTCCAGTTCTTACTTGTACCTATGCAATGTGCCGTGTCGTGTCTCAATGAATGTAGTAATTATTTAAAACGCACGTAACGCATTTTAATGTTCATATAAGTGATTGATTTATTGCAGGACACTGCTGGACAGGAGCGCTACCGCACTATCACCACTGCATATTACAGAGGCGCTATGGGCTTCATCCTAATGTACGATATCACCAACGAAGAGAGCTTCAACAGCGTGCAAGATTGGTAAGTTGGTAAAGTAGACGAACAAAATTGTGTCCTACGACCTAAGGATTATGACCTAATTTCCATGGCCATGTAATTAGCCTTAGTGATGAACAGCACTACAGACAATTATATTTTAAGACTCATCAAAAGTGCATATCTACGTGCATTTTATTTTGAAATTTGACCTAGATAGTTTGATTCCAAAATTCGATATAATACTGTTCGATTCACATTGTGTCCTTTTGAGATTCATGTTACATGTCGAATCATTTATTATAACAATGGTAACTCTATGCTCTTGAAATACTATCGTAAAAGCGAAAAATCAGTGCCTTACTCAACTTTCAACTGTTTGTCCCGAAATAACCCTGTTCAAAACAACAAGGAGACAACGATCAGAATAGTTCGCTCCCTATCTCAATGGGGCCGTAATAAAAAGTTGATCGTAAAGGGAAAATATAGCTGCCTGCCACCGAGGACGGGTGGCCGGATTTTCCTCAATTTCCTTAGGATTATGTTACGACAGGACGTGGACATTCAACATTTGACAAGTCAATTTCTTGTTTTTTTTCCATCAAACCCGTCATAAAATAAGACAATTAAATTATCCTAGCATTCGTAGTTCAACATTTTTCTTTCAATTCAAAGCAGTAGTAAAGTAGGACGTATAGATTTCTTTAAGTTGTAAAATAAACCAGTCCGCTGCCTTAAGTCATCGCAGAACGACTGGAGATACTCAAATTATAAGTCACAGTAAAATTTGAAACTAGTAGAGCTGTTCCCGAACAGTTTACATGAGTAAACCATATGATCGATTTAAAAAATAATATTATGAATTACTGTGTTTACAGGGTGACACAGATTAAGACGTATTCATGGGACAACGCGCAAGTGATCCTCGTGGGTAATAAGTGCGATATGGAGGAGGAACGCGTGGTCAGCACTGAGCGTGGCATGCAACTCGCTGAACAGCTGGGCGTCGAGTTCTACGAGACTAGTGCCAAGGAGAACATATACGTTAAGGTAATAAAAGCGTCTATTATACAAAAAAAATATTTATTATCTCCTATTGTTATGCCATAACTCGAAAGCACCAAGTTTTTAGGGATTTCAAGCGAAAATTAACAAAAAAAAAGATTTGCCTTGAAAACGAACGGAACGAGAAAATATTTCACACAAAACTACACACACGAATAGAAAATAAATCATTCAGCACTTGTTTCTAACAAAATTTATGTATTCTCATCTCGAAGAGACAATATCTGTATCTACAGACAAGACCTAAAGCCCACGCATTAATTACATTAAAGCGAAGTTACTTTGACCTTTTATTGTAGCCTCATATATCATGCCTAGATAGTAAATTATGCATGACATACACTTTTATGAAACAATAAAAATGGTAATGGTAATAAATGTTACGTTTTTCCAGGCTGTGTTCGAGCGGCTGGTGGATATCATTTGCGATAAAATGTCAGAGAGCCTGGATTCCGAACCGGCCATGCTAGCGGGCGGGGCTCGTGGCCAGCGTCTCACAGAGCAGCCACAGGGCAATTCCACCACCAACTGTAACTGTTAATGACTATACCGAGAATGTTCGCACTTTATGTTCCTTTACGTTCTAGAAAATTCTTTTAACGGGGTCGTTTCTTTCAAAAGCAAATAAGTTCGTTATGCAAATATTCTTCGCATATTAATTTTAAGTAAGAATTCTACTATACAATTGGCGAACCCCGAGTATACTTGACAAAGTATCTCAACCAACTATTTATGAGTTTTTATAAATTGTAATCTCTAGTTACTTGTTACAGTTTCATGCATAAATTTTAATTTAAGTAACAAAATTAAATAATTGTTAAAACATGTGTAACAATAAAAATATGTATTAGTATTATTAAATCTATAGGTGTTAGTTAGCTATCTACGTATTGCGAGCTGGAGTAGGGATCTGATACTTCTTTAGCTGTTAAATTTTATCTTTAATGAATTTGTGTCGTAAATTCGTTACAAATATGAATTTTAGTAGTAAATGTGTTACATTTTTTTATTTATGTTTCGTCATTTAGATATTATTTATAGTATTCGAGATTTACAACGAGATATTTTAATAAGGATTAATCTTCATGATAGTGATGTCCGAATATTATGCGCGATTATAATTTCTAAACTATACCAATCCCGAAATGTAATGTTACCATTTGGACCAAAGACAGATTAAAATATTTATTTACAAAAAGTTCAGAAGGCGCAAATATTGTAATAATGTTTAGTTAAATTTAAATTGTTATGAGGTGTAATATGTTTGGTGGTTGCGTTTCGTACGTAGGTGCATGTTTTCCGCCTTTACATTGCTTCGTATTATCTGTGTGGATGTATCGCGACTACACTTAATAGAGTTGTTACTTCATTGTCGGTAGATTAATTGATCAATGTTCGTTGTTATACTTTGGCGTAATCTTGAAGTTAATGTTATCTTCGGTGTATAACTTCATGTATGCTTCGATACCCCTTGGCCTGAATATGAAAGTTCGACTAATCAGGTATAATCTATTACCTAAAGTGTTTGTAAATACGTTTACCAAAATGTATAAATAAATAATTGTATAGTATTATATCTACCTACATATAAATCTGTTTGTATTCTTGTTACCTCCTATGCTATGTTAATATATAACTATAGGTGTTTATTTCATCACTACGTTTAGGAAGTAAGTAAGTTCCATACTGTTTTTGTTTCAATGCATCACTCGTGTCACGTACTTACGAGAAGCGAGTATCTTTTTAAAGTATTCATAGTGTCCGCCATGAGTGTATCGGCACTATATCTATATCTGTAGACGACATAGACAATACAATTTATATCAAATTCTGTTGAGACATGAGCACATTATTTTTTTAGAATCTAATTATTAGGTAAATTAGTTAAGATATATCGTATCGACGTCTGTTCGATGAAATATAAACTTATATACGTACACAATTTATTACAATAATGATGTATCTAAATCAGTGACTCGTACGTTCATTGCTTCTTCGAAACATTAAAAACTTTACAAATATCTATTATGAAAAAAATACTTATGACGCCAAATTTATGAATACGACTATTATAATATCGGAAACTACAATTGTATTGTACTATAAGTAACTACTTTGATGAACATATTTTGATGGAATTTGTCTCTAGACTTCGTAAAAGCTGGCTTACCTTGCTCCTGCTGTGTTTCATTAATTGCAATAACTATACTTACTGCAATTGTACTAAAAAAGCTTCCTTTACAAATAACCTTGACATTATATTTCGAAAATAATATCAAATTATCGGTCTATATATTCGTAAAATGATTATAAAGTCAATTTGACGAAATCAATTAAGAGCATTCTGTGGACCCAAAGTCACTTGATATAAAATTGTGTTAAATACTAAAAGAGGATGTTTAATAGCTGTTTAGGACATGGGGACCGCATAGTCACGATACATTTTAAATCAATACTCGAAAATGTAATATATCGAGTATATATTATTGAAATTGAATATCTGAATTGCGGGATATATACAAAAAATCCTGTCAATGCGCTCAAAAGCACGGAATTTAATAAATAATATATTATGTATGTATATGAGAAAGCGTGTCCCATGTCTAGTGAGTATATTATGTACTGGAAGGCGTATGTAGAGGTATATGTAACTAGCAGTGTGTGTGAGCGCCTTAGGGCGTGGGAAGGCATATCGTAGTGACGGGCTTTAGTAGCATATGTTTAGCATTTTGCGTAGTTCCTTACACTGTTTTGATACTTATTTTCTAATACACAGATGTTTAAATATCCGATGTCTAAATATTCGCTAAACTGCATTCGATGTTTCATTGTCATTCCAAATTGTTGGATCACAAAACTGAAATTGTAATCGATTAGCTGTATTGGTATAATGTATGTTATATTATTGTTGTGTGTTAATAAAGGAATTATTTAAAAATACACCCATGTAAAGATTCACGAATATAATATATATTATAAAATATTATTTGTGTGTGTTGTTTCTTTTTTACTTGAGTGTATTGTATTTTTAAAAAAAACCTTATCAAAATTTAGCAAAATAACTTTTAAAGGGATTACTTTATTTAACTCGTCGAGTACCGGTTTTGTAGACACAATTATAGAACAATAGGTTGCGGTCACCGGTGACCGCTTGGTGTTTGACAGTTTAAAATGTGAATAGTTATTAAATAGTTCGGCATTACATATGTGGCATGATTATGTAAAAAAGGACAAGTCGAATATTTATAATTCCGATAAAATAATACATAAACTGACAATATGTTTTTTATATTTGATATTTTGTTATACCAAAAATCTATTTCACTGTTATAAATATTATCTATTTGTAATTCTGTGCCTATCATGTAAATTACGTACCTACAATATCTAATTACGTAAGAAGAAACAATACCTGCACAGAACACAGTCTTTGGTGCATCATAAAATGTTACATAAGCGACTTTAAGTTGCACATTTTATTTTGAAAGAAATATCAATTGTAACTTAGAACAACGCCAGCTATGTTACAAACATAAGTTACGGCATCTAACTTACATTAAATGTGCGCTTTGAAAAGCATCAGGCGTCGTAACACTTGCAGTTTTCCTAAAGCGATAATAGATGGCGTTATTACAAAATAGTAAAAGATTGTAAACGCTGTTCTGAGAAAACTTTTGTCAAAGCTTTCTTTGGTTACCTTGTTTGGTACTTATCTACATTTCGTTGAGAAGTTGTGTTTCTACAAACAAAGATATTCGGACCCAACATTTCTTTTATTTATTGCTTTTCCAAACAACTTTAAGCATTTCATTCTTGGTTTTGGGTTTGTTTGAGTACGTATCTGACTTTTATTTAACATTTTTGAGTTATATGTACAACTATGTATATAGGTACATAGAATAGAATCAATCAATTTTATATCCTGAGTCAACTAAGAGCCTATTGATAAAAAATATAAATTTGATAAAAAAGTTTATTTGCAAAAAAGGCTGATAACAATTGCCTAGCTGGAAATACCTAGATAATTTTTTTTTTTTATGTTTATTAATTTAGAGTTTTTCGGTCACACAAAGGCCATGCCAGACCCATCATTCCCTAAACATATTTAACAAAACTTACATTATCTGTATCTGAAATACTAGATAATATTATTTACTATTTTATATATCAAGGTAGCTGCTTTGAATAAAGGCTGTGACAATATACTACGAAAAACGCCAACATTTAATAAATTAATTCTTAACATAGGTTTTGAGGTCTCTCTCCCAGCCCTCCTCCTGTTACATTCATTCAGCAAGTGGTGGACATCCTCCATAGTGCCACGTTGTAGATACATAATATAATCACACAGCAATTTATTTGTTTCCCAATGGCCGATCAATCTGTAGATGCTTAACTACACATAGTGCGGTCATTAACTAGATGGGTTCCCTTCGATCCTTGGCCAAGTGTAATTGACCTGGATCCGTGGTAATAGTTCCAATGAGGTGAGTGATTATTTCAATAACATCACGCCTTTTATTCCCGAAGGTGTAAGCAGAGGTGCACATTATGCCACTATACAATGTAACACCCGCCTTTCACTATTTATGTTATGAGTCCCATGTGTGTGTGCCTATTGCCATATACCGGGCATAATTCCAGACTCCGTGCTACTACTGATTTTTTTTTTAAAACTGAGTAATACTTTGCCCGCCTCTGGAATCGAACCCGAGACCCCTTGCCCGGCAGTCGCACTTGCGACCACTTGGCTAACGAGGCAGTGATTATTTTAATTTTTACATTTAGTTTTTTGTACGAATAAGTTAAACATTTAATTTCCATTCAGTTAAACATTCAAGGCTATTGTAATGTAGATAAAGTGATCATCTTTTAAGAGTATGCTCAAACAAATGGTTAGGAAATTATCTTAGCGTTGTGTGTTAAAAGTTATCTGTACTACTTTTTATTACTTACTCTCAATACCAAACAGCACCGCTAAATGTAAAATGCTTAAAGTAAACTTAAACAATCTGACATAATTACTACATTTTGACTGCATCATAAACGTCAACAGCCTATAAATGGGTACTGCTGACCAAAAGCCTCTTCTCACACATAGAAGGTTTGAACATTACTCACCAATACCACGCTTGCTCAATGCAGGTTGGCGATTTCAAACTTATAATTAGAAATTGATACAAGTGCGTTTGTACGTATATGATGTCAACGAAGGAACAGATTGAGATGACATCACCAGCTCGTCCATGTCAAGGGTCAAACTTCGTTGCTTATTGTCTTAGCAATTCTGATTTATTCTGAGTTTCTAGACATTTGAGATGCAATAATTACAAATTATAACTTCGGATTTCCTCCCGACATTTTCCTTTTCCGTTTGTCAGCGGTGTCTAGATAATCTTAGAAAGTACATGTAATTTAGAAAAAGTCACGTTGGTACTTGCTGTTGGTAGGTTTCGAACTCGCCCCCTCATGCATGAGAAACGGGTGTCTTAAACTTGCGGGCTACCACGACACTTGACACCTTTTGAATACATACTTACTTCGAAGAACCACACAATAGTTGCATAGTTTCAGGAAGACACAGAGTTTCCTTACATGTAACGGCTGCGGTGCACATAATACAAGCTGTGACAAACGCTTTACTACAAAACCATGCAATTGTAAGAGACTACATTAAACCAGAGCTCCTTTTAGTGCAGTTGTAGTTAAACGTCGCCTTACATAGGTAACGAATTTATCTTGACTATTAAGGTTGACTTGAGCAATTTTGTAGTAGCAAATTGTATTGAAACAGCAGTGCATTTGATAATTTGGCTTACCTCAGTTTAAATTCAACCAATGAGCGCTCCCGCTTTTGAACCTCAGATTAAGAACATAATATCAATAAGTAGAGTGCAAAATTATGGTGATAGAAATTGCCTCGTTGGCCAAATGGTCGCAAATGCGACTGCCGAGCAAGGGGTCTCAGGTTCGATTCCCGGATCGAGCAGAGTATTATTGAGTTTTTTACATTCTCAGTAGTAGCACACAGTCTAGATTGTGCCCGGTATATGGCAATAGGCTCACCCCCTATTACATGGGACTCATAAGAAAATAAATAAGTTCTAATAAGAATGGCGATAACAGAGACTCAATACTGATAATGTCATTGATCTCGGAGAAAGGATCGCTATGCAGATGCTTCCTTCAGTAATGAAAAAAGAAGATCAGATCATCTTCACCATCATCAACAACAGCCTATAAATGCCCACTTCTAAGCAAAGTCTCTTCTCAAACGGAGAAGGTTTGAGCATTAATTACCACGCTTGCTCTATGCGAGTTGGCGATTCCAAATCACCGTTTGTCAGTGATGTCTAGATAATCTTAGAAAGTACATATAACTCGGTAAAAGTCACATTGGTACTTGCCGTTGGTAGGTTTCGAACCGGCACCCTCATGTATGTCTTAAACATCCGGGCCAATATGACATCATTGATCATGAGATCATTGTCACACTACTCGTAAACAATTCTTAATATGATTTAATATCGAAGTGCAGTAGGTACTGCGTTATTATCGTCCTTCAATACCCAGCTTCGTAAAAAAATTTTCAATTTCGATATTCCCAGTCGACGTCGTTTGGATTTTTGCCAATTGTATGGCAATAGGCTCGCTCGTTTATATGGGCCTAATAACGTAACTGGTCAAGTGTTTATTACTTACAGTGGGTAGATATTGTTAGTGAAATGCTTATACTAGGTATGTTGATCAATAAAAAGCTTTCGGTTAACTCTTGAGCAAATGTAACAGTTTTATTTTGGAAAAGTAGACTAACTCCATCAGTATCAATTGTCAATCATGTTTTTACTAAAAGAATACAGGTTATCTAAACTTATTTAAAAAATATAAAATGAACTAAGCTATTCTTTTATAAAACAAACAAGAGACAAAATTTAATTTAGTTTCATATAAAAACCGATAGCGGTCGAAGCAGCTGAACCACTTGACTTCCGCAAAACTGTTCGGGCCAGCGAAATCGAGAGAGTCCATTGTTTAGCTCTCGAAACTTCCAGCACACAAGTGTGTTGCTACAGAAGTGTGTTATGTACTTCATTTAATACTTGATATCACACTTGTAAGTTACGTAGTCATCTGTTTTTTTTATACCTATTAATTTAAAAGTACTATGGCTTGAGCTGTGCAAGTATAACTAATGTCATATTTTAATATACTAGTACTTACATAATGATGATCCGTTGTAATAAATATCTTAATGAAATATTGAACTTTCATTTATTATTATCCCCTCTCCTCAATACTTAAATCCCCAAAAATTCTCAAAATCCTAATACCTAAAATGCTGGTAATGCACTTGTGGTGTTTTGGGTGTCCATGGGCGACGCCGCGCGCCGGTGCTTACCATCAGGTGACCTGTCATCTCGTTTACCGGCTTATCCCATAAAACAAATAAACAAAGAATTTACATTAAAAATGTAATGTACCGATTTTATGATTGAATACCTCAATATTAGTTTAAAAAGGCTACGTGATGAAACATGATATTTTTTCACAAAACTATTTGTACACACCTAGAAAGAGAATATTTAATTAATTACATGAAGATTTAATTAAGTTTCCAAGGAACCCTTTCCCATAAAAGACAATTTTTGCTTCGTCCGCGAATTTTCCCTTTCCCGTCCAAATTAGTGCAAAAATGGAGGACATAATGTTCGTCAATTAATCTAACTCAGCGAGTGGTACAGTGGTTAAGTAGGCTTTCCACGCCAATGTAGAAACATCAAAGATATTGTAGGCTAGACGTAGACGCAGGGCTCCTATATAAATTACTCTGACATTTTCATTAGGAAAGAAATGTAACGACGACATTATATTGTGATATTACTACAGAGAGAAATTGTTTTTTGTACGTCAAGCAAAAGAACTAAAATAATGTAATTACATACCTATTTACTTTTT